TTTTTGCCTGATATAATCTCAATCTTGTAATTCTAAGAGTATTATAACAAAAGCTTATTGGTAAGGGAGAGTAAGAATCTAGTGAACAGATTGTAAAGCCAGGGTGATAGTTTGCTTTAAATCTCTATTATAAATAGTATAAATTAATTGGTCTTTTTCATAAACTTTTTAATATTGTTTTCTATAATATTGCAATATAATTAAATAGAATTATTTATTACTATATAATATAACTTGAAAGTTCTATCTAATTTATTTCAGGTTATTTTTATAATATAAGCTTTCTGATCTTTATAAAATTGAATAAAGCTATTAGTTGTAAGGAACTTTATATTATTCATTTTCTATTGAATATTTCATAAGATGTTAATCGGTTTCTTAGAGGGTTTCTATAGCGATAGAGGGTTTAATAGAAATAAAACGTTTTGGTTTTATAGTGGTCTTTTATATATCCTAAAGTCTGCCAATAATCTATACTAGGATTAGTTTCAGGATTGGCTAGTTTAGTATCATCTTGATGCGGATCTCTGTTTTTCTGTTGATTCGGTGAGTGTAGCAGTGGTTTGAGTTGGGTGGCATTGGATTAGTAGGATTTATATTATAGAGGTTTCTATTAATCTTCCTTTTCACAGCTAGAGTTGGAGGATTGGTATTCCAAAAGTATTGATTAATCTTAATATAAAAAAAAGGGAGTCTGGAGATTTTTATTATGACTTCTTTAGTAAAGGCACAATATAAGGTTAAGGTAGATTTCTTCAAAATAGACTTCAAAATAGATTTTCCTAATAGATATATGTAGTATTGGATTGAGTGCTATATCTATTGAAATCAGCATATCATTATAATCGGGGATAACAATTGTAGCAGAGTAATTGAACAGCAATATCTGGAGCAGTATGTGGATGTGAACTTAAGAGTCATTATTGCCTAATTAATAATAGGATTATGGCATTGAAGTTATAGAAGATTGAGGATTATAGGGTTTGTGTTGGAAAGATTAATAATATAGAATAAGCCAATTTCTTTATAATTATTAATCTATAGATCTAATAATATATATTAAGATAGGATATCAGAAGTTCTTTTATTTACAAATAATAGATTGTAGATAATAGAAAGGGGATATATAGGGATATTAAGCTTGGCTTATAAGGATTCTATCTTAAATCTATATTCTGTGACTTTACTATCTATTAAACTAATGAGTGGGATGATTATGTTAGGTGTAAGGAAAATTTCTATTGAGATTTTAAGAGATTTGTTATTTATTATTTTAAAATATAAAGGAATTCTAGATATAATTAATCTTTTAATCTATAAAGGCAAACTTTCTATAAAGAATCTCGATTTTATAATTATAAATCGAGATTAGTCTTTTAATATGTTTAGTTAGGGAATTGAATTTTCACTATCATTTAAATGTATAAAGCCTCAACGAATCCGCCCCAAATCTCTGCTATTAGTAGGGACTAGAGAGATGTATTGAAATGATATTGTGGTAATCGGGAAATGATTAGTAGGCGGGAATATATTCTAATAAATAGGGCTATAACTATTATAATAGGGTCCGGGGTTGTAATGGTGATCAATAACGGGAAAATAATAACATTTGGAGTGTGTTGGTTGTAGCAAAGGAACAATCGGGGTATTATATAATTCCTGAGTTAATATTATATTTGTATTGTTGCATTACTTTTTCTTTGTAGTTGAATTTGATATAATTGGGCTTTTTATAATAAAAATAAAGGCCAAGATCTAGATATTATTCTCTATTATAATGTAATAAAGGTCACTAGCTTAGCAAGCAGTATTCAATTATATAGAATCTCCAGAAAGATTAGGTATAGATATTATAACAGCAATAGCAGGCTTCTTTTATTGGATTTTTTCTGATCGTTAAAGTTAATACCTTAGTTTTTGTATTGATTATCAAGATAAATCTTTTTCTCTAAATCATTATAAATACCTTACCATTAAACTATCTATATATCAATATTAACAATAAAAGGTTATTAAAGCAATTAATTAAAGCATTAATTAATTTTTATAAAACTTTGAGTTTAAAATTAGCGACTTGTTATTCAACAGTCTTTTGTATTTGATAATAAGCTGCTTGAATTTGATAATAAAGTTACCAAATAGAGTTTTCTTTATTTTACATTTATTATAATTTATAAAAGCTTTATATAAAAGATCTAAAATCTGATATTGCTTATTTAATTCACACCAGATACCTATTACAATATACCATTCAGAGAGCCAAAGGTTGGAATTATATATATTGTCTGTAATTATATCAAAATATATCTGATTATTCGTATAAACAGAACCAGAAAATAGATTAACAAAAAATGTAATTTTCTGAAACTCTGATTCATTTTCGTAATTCGCGATCAAACAGTAATTGATTGTATTATAAAAGTTGTATACTAATTTTAATACTTTATAATATCTTACTCATCACCATTAAACTTTTCAGAGATAACGAAATATTTGTAACAAAATAAAGCTTGTAAATTATTACAAATAGTAATCTTTAATATCTCAATTATATCTTTCAATTCAATAATCTTGATTGAGTATTGATAGCTTAAACCTGAGCAGCAATAGTTTGAGTTTGTAATAAGCCTACAATCGATTCGATTAATTCAAATACAATTTGAATAATAACGAAGTATATAGCATTTGGATTATTGAATAAATCTATAAAGGGAAAGATATTAGCTTTGATAGAATTGAGAATGTAATTTAAGAAAAGAAATTGCAGAGGTAAGCCAAATACAGGTGCTTTTGGTATAAATACTTGTTTACCTATCTTCGGCACTTTTTGAGGCTCAAAATATTGACGGTAGAGTATATAATAAATCAATAGTAAGTACAATCGGCGCGATCGGGATAAGGTATCGATAAGGCTTTGGAAATAAAATAAGAAATAAAGCTGTGATAACTTATTTAAAGATAATACAAATTGTTAAGATATGAATAAAGACTTATATTATATTATAAAGGTAGAAGAGCTATAGAAGAATGAAACCCTACTTATAGGAAGTAGGGCGTGCTAGTATGCTATGCCTGAGACACGAAGGCAACTATAGATCATGTAGTTGGCGCCGTGACAATAATTTTGATAACTACAATCTCAAAACACTTTTTAGTATCTGTTAAAATCAACTCACTAACTCCAAAATACTTATTAACGATCCTCGAGATTTATTGAATAAAAATGATCAAATGTTGTATATATATCTATATAATATAAATCATATCACTTAGCTTGATTGAGATTAACTATAGTCTTGACTTACGATATAACGCCCTATAGCTTTCGATAGGCTACATAGCTTCAGATATACGATATCAGCATGGGGGAGTATTAGAAAAGGTGCTTATACTATATATCACACTATATTATATCGGGATTAGCCTACATGTGACTCTATCGAGTTCACATATATATATCGTATCTCTATGTAGAACTTAATAATATCAAGGCTTTTCCACCAACTCATATATGATCTTTTAACATATATACAAATAAAACATCAATATATTTATTTATTTTATTTATTTATAGTGATTAACGTCTTGTAGAGGACCTCCCGAGGGGTATGAAAGACGTGGCTAGATCTAGAGTTACAAATACAGAAAGGCGCTGATGCGCACGCTAGTAAAACCTCACAGGGTAAACCCAGTTCCTTCTATATATCCTAAACAAGCCAGTGTAATGATCGCAAATAGGGCCGTTTTTGATTGGCCCCATATTCCTAGCGCTTCCTTCTGCTCATGGAGAGGAGCGCTCTGATTGTACAATTACTTCTGTCATAGAACCATGTTTTATGGACAGGAGCGGTGTGTACAGGTGTGCCGCTTCAAAGAAGCGGGTGTGTGTGTGATGGTGCTCCAGAGGAGCGGAGGATTCGGCTATTGGGCCGCTCGAGAGGAGCAGCCGGAACGATGGTTCCGCTGAGTAGCGGAATGGCGCATAGGCGCAGTGGTGGCGGCTGGAGGGGGGATCAGTTCCCCCTCAGCATTCGATCGATCGCTTTTGCGGCCCATAATAGAAAAGCTCTATTAGGGTTAGCGGTAGATTGTCGGAGCTCAGTGGAGCTGTGTCAGGAGGTCCACACTAAGGTGGCCTATGAGGCGGCATATAGGGTGGATCCATGTGGATCAGATCGCTATAGCCATAAGTCGTAGAACAGTAGGAGAGTGACCCGATCACTCTACCACTGAACCAGCCAGGCTCCTTGCGGAGGACAATGGTCTTTTTGTCTAAACATCAATATAAATTCCTATATAAATATTTAATATATATATTATTGAATTGAAACTTCTTTCATCTCTAACGAATTATATACTTCATTATCAACAAATATAATCAATCCAAATTGAGATCCATTTATTATTGATATTTTAATAATAATAAAAAAGAAAATAAAGATTGTTTCAACTAAAAGCCTTTATAATTTTAGAAAAGGTAAATAAAAAAGAAAAAAAAAATAAGCAGAAAAATTAGAAGGAGAAAGGAAACAAGCAAAGAAGCAAGTACAAAAGCTAAAGAATAAGAAAAGGTATTAACCGAAAATTTTATTAAAAAAAATCCATATCTTGCTATTTACTTTCAATTTATTCTTCAATCAAAAACTTTATCATTATATTATACAATATAGAATATATTGTATATAGAATATATTGTTTAAACAAGAATACTAATCAATTCTAATTTATGTAGTATTGATCAATAATCGATTATTAATCGATTATTGAATTCAATATTAGTAAACTTTTTTATTTAAAAATGATTGTCTTAGGCTAAAACTTTCAATCAACTATCGAAATTCGAAAAATTTCTCTAAGTTCTTTTAAATTAAAATTTTCTAATTATGTATGTATATAAGATTAATCATATTAATATTTTAGGATTCATTTTTTCAATACAATATTAAAGATTAAAATTTTTATTGTATTTAACGAAACAATGGTTTTGTTAATCACGGATTATGCCACCACAGGGATACAAGAACACGCTTGGTGGAAGCATGATCGAGACTTCCGTCCGTACACTCTTTCCTAACATAAAATATTGTTGGATCGATACAATATGTATCGATCAAAATGACGAAGAAGACAAGAAACTTCAAATACCTGTGATGGGTGACATATATGGAAATGCGCAAGTGGTAGTGATCGTCACAACTTGTGATTTCCCGCGTTGGATGACGCAAGATTATTTGGATCTACTCACCAGGGACCTAGGTGAAGCTATCGCAATTTCTAAGGGTGAAGAATATACAGAGTTCATGTCGGAGTACTGGGCACATGGAGATGGTCGACAAAAAATCATTGAGGGGATGGATTGTCTTGAGTTTTTCACCAGAACGCGATGGGCTGATCGAATCTGGACATTGCAGGAGTATATTCTTGCTCGACAAGTTGTTTGGGTTGGCAAAGAAAATGTATGTCTTCGAATAGACGATGTTATGTTCAGTGCACTGCCGGACTTGTGTGATGTCTTCTTCAATATCGAGGAAGCAATAGGTGGGAAATATGCTAAAGTCTACGACTTTTACACCGGTATGGTGAATGCTGGAGCTGGGAGAATTAATCAGACTCGTGTCATGGAGCTCTTGGGAAATCGCTCGGCTTCGTTTCCAGATGATGAGATCTATGGTGCAATGGCAGCTTCGGGGGTAGTTATACCCCCAGGAGTCGTCACCGGACAGAACAATGTTTGGGCCCTTTGGTGGGAGGAAGCAATACGTCAAGGGCATCATCGTTGGATGTTTCTTCCTCCTGTCATATCCGAATTTACCAGTACAAACTGTATAATGCCACCGTTTAAGACGCGTCACAAATCCTCACAGTATTCCGGACTTGATACAGTACATGTCAAAGAGGGTAAAGTTAGCATTTTCGGTGGGAGCGTAAACATGTATGGTCGCTGGGCTGGTTCTTGTCGCATAATAAGGCGCTTGGGTAAAGTCTTTCGAGATTTGAATGGGGGTCTCCGTCGAGATATAACAATGATACTTTTTGCCAGTGGTCGTTGGAAACTAGCTTTACGGCTTGTTGCAGCATTTAGTGGGGGAAGGTATTACTGGAAGCAACGTTTGGCCATAGCACAAGTTCTACAAGCAAACTATCATCGTGCTGAAAGGAACGCTAGCTCTAGAGGAGAGCACGAGATGGTTCTCCGTAGGCTGACAGAGTATCAAAGAACAATCTTGGGTGACTTCATGAGGCTCATGATGAGTCAAATGATTTCGCTGAATGATGGGATAGCTTATCTCGCTTGCATCGAGAACACTTTGAAGTCAACGGATATCATCATAGTGAGCGATAATCATCAGCCGTTAAACAGGCTTCATGCTCTTGATTTCGGTATACAAGATGTTAGCAAGAGGACTCCTTTCATGATTGTTTCGGCACCAGATCCTAATGTAAAAGTTTATGATGGGGCTCCTATCAAAGCTCTCCATAAAGTTGGAATGTCTCTGCCAACGATCGTTTGTAAAACATTGCGCAAAGCAGGTGCTTATAAGGGCCATGTCATCGACTCACATTCACATGAATTTAATATTGGAGGCAAGGCATGTTGGTTTTGCTCAAAAACTACGGATATTGGAGGATCTCGAAATAACACCGAAATTCTCCACTGATGAGATCCACTACCTACTCAATGTGGAATACACCTCGAGTGACAAGCTGCATTGAGTTAAAAAACAAGCAGACATCAGAAGTGTATCACAGCGTGATCAAAGAGTTCTTGACTCTCGTCAAATACACGCTATGATGTCGACATGTATCTTCATATGCATGTTCACAGCAATAAAGCGGATATAAAATGTGGGAAAGAGTTATTAAAGAGTATGAGCTCGACAAATCGATGAGAAAAACCACTGAACTGAAAGAGAGAGAAAACGATTGCGACGATTTATTCCATATATACCGGCAACAGAGTGTTTAAATCTATATTCAGCACATCTTAAAAGTCTCTCAAATCAAAGACTTTCTCAAAACGAATCTAAAACTAGGTATTCAAAATCCTTCTAAGGGTAGCAATCATTAGGATCATTCATTTGTGCAGCTAAATTCGCAGGAGAATAAGCCTAACTTCCAATTACAACGTCAGAAGTCCCGTTGTTCATTTCTCAGGGGTAATATCCGTTTTATCGCCTTTGGACAAGAAGGAGGTTGATTCTCGGTACACACATTTCTCAGCAAGTCAGCATAATTTTGCTTACTCACGCTATCCTTTGCCCCCAAGAGAGTCCTAAATTCGCATCGAGACTCCCAGTGGAAATTATAGAATTGATATACCGGAATAAGTATGAATTTAACCTCAATCTTCGCTCGTATTCATCATCGAGCAATTTGGGATAAGAGTTATCACTTCTAAGATTATGCCTTGACCGCTTTGTATCAAAATAGATTTCGTTGTCTCCTTCAAGTCATTCTTTCTAAACCACTAAATCTATTTTTGACATACGCATTATTTTCCTTTCATAATGAAGTTTTCTACATACCTGATAGTTCCGCGCTACTTGGGTTGTGCAACGCGGTTGCTCTAGATTCCCTCCTTAACACCAAAACAACAGGACCTGGTGATCTTGGTGCAAACAAAGTCATTATACAAAATTTGCTTGATAATATTGCTCTTCTTGTCGATGCTGCCCTGGTGGTATTGATGCCTATCAACCGATGAAAATATGCGGAATAATCTTTTCGCCTATTTTGGCATCAGGCTTACCAAATCTGGCAAGGTGCATGCTTCAGATAATGGTAAACTTACGACTGTTGCAAGTAAGTGACTGTTCTTCCAAGCCCAAACAATCTTCCAACATTTACTACCAGTCTGTGGATAAATACTTGAACTAACACAACAATAGCCACATTGCAAGGTGTCCAGAGATTCCTCAACAGACACAACGCGAGATTTACTGTAGAAGGAGACGGTACAGAAAAGCATTGGCTCTTCTATGATTCTACATGGCAAGTGGAAACAGAATTCATGTACGACCCTACCGGAAAACCGGTTCCAGACCCAAAAGACTCCACCAAGCAGGCCAACTTTCGCACCTTCGCTGGCTCAGTCGATGCTAGCACAATAGCTTGGTCAAAGACATGCAATTAGGCAAATATCTCAAGTGGGCAAGATATGCATGCTATTTCTCTGATCTGCACGACTACGTTCTAGAAATCAAGGCAAATCGATACCCTGGAAGCTCACCCTCGTAGTATAGAGAAAAGACGCTATCACACAAGGAAGTTCGATTTGGTCTTACGAGTACGAACCTTTATCGTGATGTCGTTACGCTTTGCCCGGATGCATTCAGTACAGATTCAGAACCATATGAGACCATAGCTATTGCTATGGCATCGACCCAGGCGAAACTGCTGGCGCTTATCTTGATTATGCTTCTCCAAGATCGTTGACACTTTTCCATGAATTGATCCTTTTGACATTTGGACAAGGAGCAGATGATACACCGGATAGTGCCAGTAAGTCAACCTAATTTCTTGACATTGACTTGTGTTACTAACAGAGCTCTCTGTAGCCAAATCAATTGAATGTCTAGCGCAAACAGCTAATAAGCAAAGTTCCCAAAGTCTAGTCAATCCAGACTCTTATGTGTTCTTGGCGTGGTCTTACTATCTCACCAAGAACGGTAATCCGAGCTATAAATGGCATGGCGAATTTGCCCAGAAATAGAGATAGTTTTGAAACGAAGACACAGAGAAGTACGAGACAGTGTAAGAAATTGTATTCAAATTCGTGTATATATGAAAATTTTGCCGACTTGCCATTGAGGATTTCGCATTAATCAATTAATATTGTGATTTTGAAGGTGATGGCCGTGTAAACTTTACTTGCTAACACTTCAACTCGCCAGTTCTATCTGACTTGAGGTAACCTACGGACAGCTTTCAATTTCCCAGATCGAAACCTGGAGCTGTTGAATAAATTCCAAACTTGACATGATAATAAATGTATCACGAATGATTGTATATGTTGGATCGAGAAGTTACGTACAACCAGGTCCTACTACAAATGCTTGCCGAGAAGCTATATCAGTAATGGGTTCAAGAATTTCTATATTCATGAACTCGATAAGTTCCGTCGTCTGCTTTAATACTGTGAAGAGAAAAGCATACTAAAGAGTAGCATCTGATGAAATTGATAAACGCAGATATCATCAAAAGCTTGTCATGCAATAATTTTTGAGCTGGTAGGTGTAAAGATGTACATTGATTGATGTATTGGTTATTTACCAATCTTCTGTAGGAACGACAGTATTAGCGTGGCTTCTCTGCACTAGCAGCCTTTGAAGTGAGCATATCGGCAAAATGATTGCTGAATCATAGTGACGTTTATTTAGCAGCACACGCCCTGAAAAGCCCAGTTGAGCTACTAATAAAATTGACCGTCTTCTACTCCTCCGCATCCATTTTTGCCATTTCTCTCTCCTCTTCAGATGTATAGTTCCAGAATTTCCAAGGAATAGTCTCAAATTTGCAATGCACTTCTTCCATCCCAGCATTCCCTGGTCTTTTAGGCCTGTCACCCACTCACTGAATATGTTCTTCGATTCTCCAGCTTCTTTGGAAAATCCAGCTTCTGCTTTGAATTCTTCTTCCCCTTATTTACTGTGCCAGTAATGCAGATACCTCATGACTCTGGTTTGCTTCTCCTCAAACTCAACCGGTTCACTCACCCAACCCTTAATTGCCTTTCCGCTGTATGGACTCTTACCAGACTTCTTTCCGAGCGCAAAGAAGTAAATCAACCCTTTCAAGTCATTAACCCTCTTCTTTGCCTCGTCCTCTACGTCCTCCGGGAAATAAACATCCGTAATCCCAGTGAAATCAGTCACATGTTCCAGAAGTCCCCTGATAGTTGAGCATGCGTAATGATTGGTTCTTTCCCCTCCGAAAGCTCTCTCAATAATTTCAATTGTCCTTCATACACATCCGATTCCTCGAATTTTCTTATTGCCTCCAAAGATTCCCAGCCAGTGATAAGCCAAACTTCGTTGGGTCGTTCAATCAATCGACCCCATACTCCATGTTCGAAATCTGGCTGTAATTCCTTTGTGAGCGGTTTGATAATTTCAAGCCACTTCTTTCCTTCTTCTGATTTACTATCTGAGATATGTTTATTAACGGGGATTTGAATTGCGATCCATGATGTAGGGGCCGTTAGTCGTGGAGCTTGGGCTCTAGCCATATCAGTTTCAGCCTTTGGATACCTATCCGGAGGTGCTATGAATGGTCAGATATCTGGTTACGTTTATCTTCATTTGGCAAACGATGGCCTATTATATGATTTGTAGAAGGATAGCGGATAGCACTTCCGGCTGATGATATGAATACAAATAGAAGTCGCTGACTGTATTTATCCTGCTGGCAGTGAGATGATTAGCCAAGTCGTGTCAGAGTTCGAGTGGAATGATTATTTTGGCCCCTGTGATTCGGGGCCAGGACAATGCAAGTGCCTGCCCCTGGAGACACAGCAGATTCTCTATCACCTGACGTCATTAGTAATCACCAATCAATCTTAACTCATATCCTTCTTTTCCGATACATGATCATCATTACTTGCGTGACACGTTGTCAACGTACTCAAAACTTCACTATGAACAAATCCGCCTTCATTTCTGATCTACGACGTGAACTACGAAAGGCGAAGCAGATGTGACGCCGCGTTCCACCATAACCCTCTTGCTTGCTAATTCACACCATTCATAGGGGGTTTGTACATTTACTTCGCCCTCAATCTTTAAAGTCTTAGAACATCCATTACCTCGTTCTAATACTTATTCCATCTACCTCCCAATATTCTCGAACATTGATCAATCATAGTATAAAGCCTGACGCACATCATTTCCAGCGCTTCCAACTTTTTTTTTGCCTTCTGCAATTGATCAATAACGTATTGTTTTTCAAATTCCTCCGCTTTCGTCTTTGGAAAGTCCCGTTCAAATGCTTAAAAGCACAGATTTGTTCCTTAATTACGGAAAGAGCCTTCCTTGATTCTAGAATCTCTGCTTTCATAACCTCGATATTGTTGCTAATCTCTTCACCTGAGGTGACTTCAGATTAATATTCGAATGCAAAGGATTGGAGTTATTTTAGAGATTCAAGGACTAACCTTGATCAGCATCAATCTGCGTCTTGTGTGTGAAAAATCGTTGCAATGTCCTGTTTGTCACATGGAACCTTTTGATGAATTCATCGACTGAAAATTGCGCTAAAGCAGAGGCTATGAAGTCATGGAGTCCCTCCATTCTCTGAAGATCACGGAATTGCAATCCAGGGACAGTTTTCTCGTCGGATTGAGGAGAATATTCTGGGCTCGGGTTGTTTACCTTGATCCCAGTCTTCTGATAAGACGCAGAATTTTTGGTTTTCAATCCATTTGACCTATTTCTGGGGTCGACAGGTAACTCAAGTATCTCTTGTTTGAGATCACTTAACATGGGTGAGGAGTCCTTCTTGATCGAGCTATTCGAGAATGGCGTATCAGCAGAAGACATTGCTGTCGCAGTAGTCGGAATGATCGCGTGTATCTTTTTTTTTTCTGAATGGGATTGCCGCTCATGCACGCAGATGTAGCCTGGATCTAGAGAGGAAAGCTCTACCAAGCGTTCATTGATGGCTACAAATAAAAAGAAACTCACACAAGATTTTTACGAGGTGACGTCTTCCAATCGTTCTTTCCCATGACATCTACATTCAGCGTTAATAAAGCAAAAATTGTCTTTACGAAAGCCCAAATTGATCGGGATCAGATTCCAGTGTGCTAGTTCTAAATTTATGAATTATTCCTCCTCTTGACATCATCACGATCATGAGCTAAAATTTGCCTCCTGCATCACTACTTACGTGCATTCCCTTTTGATCTTTTGGCCATCATGAAGTTTAAAAGCTGGATTGCTCACAGTACATTTCGATTGTTGCTGTCCTGAGGATCAGCTAAGACCCCTTGCTCACGTGGAATATGGATGCGTACTTATTTTTTGTGATCTTTGCTCTCTTGAGACACTTATCGCTGTCTTGATAATTGTAGTCCGTCCTGGCGCTGCTCCAATGCCAGAGTTGCCTGCGTCTTTCAAATAAAAGCAGAGTTTCGTGTTAATTCTCTTGCAATTGGATGAGTTACCACTCGCCCGGTCTAACTGGCGTGGTTCATACAGCTTCAAGATAAAAAACTTGATGTCCACTGTTACAGTCGGATTCCATGACAGTTACAGATTAATGCTTTCTCTTTTATATCCGTGTGCTAACTCTTCCCCATCGTCACTTCAACGAAAATCTCGTGTGAGAGAGTCTATTTACCCAAACATTTGTATGGCGCTAGCTTCACATTAGCTCAATTGCAACTTGATATACGACTAGACGCCTGATGGAAATCTCATCACCGTCTCGTCCTCTCTTGATCAGGCAATTTAGTTTTCAATTGAAGACGTCGCAGAAAATCAAGTCCCCAAAGTGAACTGCCGTTCTTGTGGATGCGATGCCAAATAAAGCAACAGGACAAAAGCTTAGATGGCCCAATTAGCGAAAAAAAAAATTTAAGCCTAGAAAAAATCTGTGTGCTTGCTTCCAAGTATTGAATACCGTTATTCTGATTTGGCATGAGAAACAAAGCCTCAGTGAAGGCTTCGGTGCTACGAAGATGCGAAGCAAAGATTTTAGGCAAAAATGTAAAGGTAAGTTAATGAAGAGGAGGACCTGAAGTTCGCGGGCTATGTATTCAGAGAGATACTTGACTATGAAGCGTGATTTTGAAGGAGGTTGAGCATGGCGAGTTAAGTTCCTATGCCAATGAAGATTGGTTGGAAGCTTGTAGAGACTCATTGAAATATGCGTAGAAAAACAGAGATCTGCTCAGCAGGTTACTTTATCCTAAGATTTGCAATGTTAGAATAACATGTTACACAAGAGTAACTCAAAACCGCCGCGTTTGCATCATGTTGTGCTGACTCATAAATCCAATCTATTCCGCGGTCCAGATCAACCCAGATCATGCACTGTTACACAAAGGCTTGCAGCAGGCTTAACTCGGCTCTGCTTGGCCCCCGTTGATTGGTCTTCAAATTTTTCAATGTAGAGATCCGTCGGATGGTTTCAAACGCAGGAAGTATGTACATTTTTCATCACACGCAGGAATGACTCTTAATATCTCTTGTTTGCCTTTATTTGAGAAAGTTCTTCTTGATGTCGATATCAACCAAGTCTAGGAGTTCATAATGTCCAAAATGAATCTTTTGTACGATGAGGATCCTTCAGATGACGGTCCACCGTCGAAAAGGCAGAAAACTGCTGGAACCAAGAGTGATGACTTCGAGAACGTAAGTTCCTTATAAGATCCCTTTTTCCAAATATGGTATTTACATCCTTCCAAGAAATTGACATTACCCATCGCTCTTGAGCTCGGCGAAGAACCTAGAGACCTTGAAAGTAAGTTTCCAAATCTTCAGCAATAAAAGGTACTGCAAACTGACAGGTTAGTCAAAATTCTGAAAGAATGTCCCACCGCGTCCAAATGCGATATTGCTCAACCAGCAAAATGTCTATGTCGATGCTATTTTTATTCCAAATACGGACATGTGGTTTTTGTACCGCACGACAGTCATCACGGTGATGACGAAGGTCCCGAAGACAAATGTGCAGATTGCATTAATGCTGAAAGCACAGTGAGAGGACAATATGCAAGTGTGTTGCACGAAAATCTTATCATCAATGCATTATGAATCTAACTCTTCACAGTCGAGATCTCAGACCACTTGCCCCTTTCGCCTGAAGTTCGACATAATCTTGCGTGTCATTTCCGGGTGATCAGAGATATTTTAAGCAAGATGTTTTCGACCAAGATTAAAGAGATGAGGAAAAGAATGACTCGAGTAAAGATCGAAAGTATGCCTATCTTACAGGAAGAAACTTCAATGCTGCAGAAGGAAATCAAGGCAATCAATGGTCATATGGGTGATCTGGAAAGGGAAATAGAGAGTACATTCGCTACCGTGATGAGAACTGGGGAAAACATATCAGGAGCAGTGGATGGTTCGTCGGTGCTGCTGAGAGAAAATGTGCCGACACTTGTGCATCTGCCCAAGCAGGATGCTCCTAGGGCGGGTTTGTTGGAGGAGGAAATAAACAGATTGAAGACTGAAAACGAGAGATTGAAGACAAAGATACAGCAGTTCGAAGAAGAAAAGGGCATGACAAGTTTCGAGACCCCAAGTGTTCCCATAAAATTCTTTCACCTCAAAATGAGAATCTGATTCATAATCAAGGGGCTAACCAACCCTTCTCATTGGGGTAGGAAAAATAAAATTATGACAAACAAAAATACTTGATGCTGGCTTGGTAATATCCTTGGTATACACTCGAAGTACTAAGATGCCCATGTACAGTTTCATATCCTCATATAATTGTGAATGTTCATTTTCATTTGATCTTCATTCCAGTTCAGGTTAGTTAAACAAGTGAGAAAAGCATCGATTGCTCCAATACACACGCAATCAATCTACCCATATATCAAGTGAAAATACACTAGCAACGTCCCTAAACTATCTTATAATCCTTATTCTTCGAAAAAAGATTCTTACCCTGTGCGTTCTTCCCAACCCAATAATACGGACCCTGACTTCTATCCTGCCACTCATGTTTATTCTTCACCGCAAATATCCCACCCATTCCCTCCGCAAGCAACAAATCTGTAATATAGTGACTTCCCCCATCACATATATATCCATCACTTCTACGAGACCACCCATAGTTCTGTGGACATCCAGTATTTAATTTCCCGAGTTTTCCCAAGGCCCAGGATTCTTGTTCTTCACGCTCCGCACCTTTCATATTGTTGATTGTGGGTTGACGACTGGCCATTTGTATGTCGTTGGGGGTATGGAGGATACTGCGGACGCTAGACATGTTTTCTATTATTTTGGAGGGGGCGATGCTGACTTCTTTTATGGTTGACATGGATGAGTGCATTTGGGATTGGTCTCGGTTGAGGAGTGTGGGTTGGGAAATGCTAGGGTCACGTTGGAGAAATGTTTGGCGATTAGATGGTGATTGCAGCATTATTGTTGGTTGGCGAGAAATGTCACGTTGAAGCTCAGTGGTATCATCGAATGGTTTTAAGGAAGGTCCACGGCCTAGAGTTCGAGGGGATGTGGCGGTGTAGTTGATGGTACCACGAGATGTTGTGTAAGAGGATGGAGCTTGGGACTGACCTCTGAGAGTTGCTGCATGTGAAGCTCTGATAAATTGTTGGTGCGATGGAGCTTGGGATGCGCCTCTTAAGGTTGCAGCGTGAGAGGGTCTTAATGTTGGTTGAGTATACATAGTCTGAGATGGACCTGTAATAGTTGGAGCTTGAGAAGATTTTACCGATGGATGGTGAGACTGGTTCTGACCAGTTGAAGATGGTGCTTTGGAGAGGGCTTTAGGAGCTTGAGATGGAGAGCGACTTGGAGATGGATGAAGCTGGCTAACACTCCGAGCTGAGGCGGAAGCGGATGATGGATGTGATTCTCTGCCCATCACTGAAGCTGTTGGATAAAGTTGACTAACGCCACGGCCAGGACCAGTAGGTGGTGCTTCAGAAGCCATAATACCCAATTTTGAAGAATATTTGGGAGAATAGGGGTATGTTTGAAGTGTGTTTAATCTTTTTAAGGCAGTGATTGATTGTATATCTTTGTTGGGAGGTTTGAAGGTGAACGAGAACGAGAACATATAGAGCGCCTTTATAGAAACGAGGTGATATTTAACAGAGCTTGCAAAATTATGATTAACTTCCAAAAAACTAGGGTTTGCCGTTTACTAGATTGTGAATGGCATTATCATGCCCCATCTTCCTTCATGGTGTTGAGATTTTGCGAATCATCGACATTAGAGTAAGTCAACTGAAAGCTGCAGACGACAATTATTCACCGCGAAAACTCTCTACATTTAACGAAGACAGCTCATGCAGAGAACAGTGAATCCTTATCCCGATCTCTTATTGAAGTACCTACTTCAATAAGTACGATATGCAAACAAATAAAATAAACAAGGTGAATGGAGCGCTGAGCTCTTCTTGCATAACTCGACTACCTTAATCACTCAAACACAACATTTCAAAAGAAATATTCAGCTCAGATTTAAAACAGACAGCATATGCAGCTCTTAGAACAATATGGAAGACGCCGTATACAACAAAAACGACGACACAAACATCTCTCTCGTCGTCAACGCAACCCTCATCGACATCTACAATGGCGAAAAAATTACCGTTCACGAAGGGCAACCATGGGCCTACAAATTCTCCATCCCACAATGGCCAGAAGAGCAGAACATACTAATTGGACGCGGAGAAGCTGAGCTCAAAATCGGCATAGGATACATGTTACACGGACACCTGTCGATCAACGAAAGCAAAAACTGGACACGCACTGCATTCGAAGTCGACGACGCGGTAGAACTATGCAGCACTGCTAGGCAAGAAGAAAAGTGTCCAGAATTTCGTCTTTCTGGTTTCGTGCTCGAGGCTAAAGATGGGTGGATCACTTTGGGTTGGGAGAGAATTGATGATGATGTGGGAAATTTTACGTGGGTTTATGTCAGGGTTCGGTGGGAGGAGGCAAATGAAGATATGCTGTTTAAGCAGTATTATGTGGAGGGCCGGATGAATGGGTATGATCGCATGATGGATTGGGTTGCGACTTTGGTCACTCTTGCTCCTTGAGTACCAATCGAAATTGAGTGGGAGAACTGAAGCATGGGTATGGCTCTCATGAAGGCATTTTACGGTGGTCTATCACTGATCGACAGCAAAACTCGTGGTTTTTACGTTGACTTACTACCCTTTTGCAAATGTTCATTCTAGTCCTTTGCGATTCTCGGAAAGTGAAGTTCTCAGCACGAGAAATCCCTGATATTACGGAGGTGAAGTGAAGGCTGGTTTCGGACAAACCAGATTGCCATTAAATTTTTTGATGTTTCTGAAGAGAATTGAAAGCTAAAACCACAAGAGGCGTTGGTTGAGCTTTGCATAAAGGGAGTTAAAGTCTCTGCGTCTGATCTTCCACCACCCGACGAGCGAAGGTTTGTAGAAATGACTCGCTCTGTGCGGCTATATGCAGCTTGAAAGTACTAGATCCATTGGCCATCATATCGTGGTGGAACATTAGTCAATAGAGATCATTCGAGGCATAGAGAGGCACGAATAATTTGTTTCAAATCTGACCACCATTTGAAGCGTTTACACATGTGCAGGCATGAATGATATCGATATGGATTTTAGATCTGTTCCTTCTGCCATCCCCACTTTGAAATTCCTCAGCTGCTATCACTTCTCCTCTTGTTCTTCTGATAGCCACGCTAAAGCGCTTAAAGCATATGCATCTATACCTACTTGCATTGTAGGAAATATTTGTGGAGCAAAGAGAGAACTGTGATTTCCTGGTATACTCTCCGCCAGTGTCCCTTCTTTTTGGGCTAAGTCAACTTTCTCGGGTTCTGTACAACCATAGGCGAATAAAAGAGAAGGACTTTCAACAGCAGATGCAAGGATGCAAAATTCTTCACTAAAACTAAGCCTAGGATAGTCTGCAACATAAGTTTCATCGCCAGGCCTGAAATGATCGTGAAAAGCTTTGCCCACTCTTTCAGTAACGGAGGCATTATTATAGGTTACGGGAAACGATCGAGTAGGAGTTATTGTCGGTTCAACGACTGCATTGGACGCTGCGCTTTCAGCTTTGACAATTCGCAGAACTCCATTGTAGAGTTTCTGCCTTGTAGTCTCGTCATTTGCGCGAATGTCAACAGTGATTGTCGCATCATCGCTAACCACATTTTCTGTAGTCGTCGAGCCAGAAATGAAACTTGCGCACGTAACAACTGCATGTTGACTGGGATGAACCTCCCTGGACACAAGCGTTTGTAATCTCATGACGGCACTGGACGCCATGACAATAGGATCTTTAAGACGCTCAGGCATGGAAGCATGTCCACCGCGACCGTGGAAAGTCACGCGCAGATTGTCGCAAGAACTAGCCATCGTACCGGGTCGGATACCAATGACACCAGCTCGGGCTGGAACGACATATCCACTGAAAACTACATCAGGAATAGGAATGTTATGCCTTTCAAGATCGTATAGTCCATCGTCGACCATACTTTGAGCACCTGTACCTCGTTCTTCGGCGGGCTGAAAGATAAGAACAATAGTTCCATGCCATGATTGCCGCGCCGATACCATAAGTTCAGCATATGCCAAAAGACATGTGATATGCATATCGTGGCCACATGCATGCATCACTGGTTGCTCTTTGCCATGAACATCAATGACTCGCTTTGTGCTGGCATATGGGAGACCAGTTCGTTCTTCTATAGGAAGAGCATCCATGTCGGCCCGTGAGAGCACAATGGGGCCAGGACCATTATGAAAAACCGCAGCAACACCATAACCCCCAATGTTTGTCTTAATGTCAAAGTCTGACGAGATTGTGGAAAGATGATTGACAATGGCGGTCGATGTTTCTATCTCTTGATTGGAAAGTTCGGGGTTTGAGTGGAAGTGTTTGTATAACACTTCATAAGACTTGAGTTCAGGCCGGTGGGTATTCAGGATATCGGTCAGCGGCATGATGGAAGTGTGCCATGAAAACAACTCCTGTGCAGTGGTCTATTTCTTTTCTTAGGGCAGAGCAATGTAACTCACGAGTCACCTCCTTGCCGTCTTGATCATCCCACCTATTGGATATGGTCGATTAGGGTGGTCAATGCGCTTTGATCACGCGTTTTCGAACGAAACCCATCCATTCACTCGAAACAAATGGAACTGGAATGGCTTATATCCTATTAATCATCGCTCGCAGTAAAGGTCTCACATAAGAAAGAAATAGGCGTACAAGAAATTCTCACAGCTGAAATTCTTAATGAGGAAACGAATATCTTCCCGTCAACTAGCTGAAAACCCAGCCATTGAGACTCATCTAAAATTTATCAAGTCAATAGGCGAAAACACTCCTCACTGCTTGGCCAGCTAGAAATATTCTTGCGAACTCGGTTACCACGGCTCACCGTGAGATATGTTACGTCAGTTTCGGTCGTTATGGATCTTTTAACGGGGTATCTTGTTACTTCGTTAAAAATGTGAGAACCAAGAGCTAGTCTTGCCGCCTCTAGTCTGGATATTGATCATACGACTAAGCTCATCTTGTAGATTAACTTCCTTGATCGGTGGGACATTGAAAGCAGTTGATCAGGAATTTTCAAGGTCAGAGATATAGCATATACACTTCCATTTTCAACCGCTTTAACAGTTGATACCTGTCGAATCGCGTTAGATGGCGCAAGAGACCATGCGCCTACAGTTGAGGAAAGTTGAAACTGAAATAAGACTTCTGGGTTAACCTAAAATTTTCCGATGAATTGCGTCGCCATTCGGCACACAGCCTGTCGACTTCTAAATCACTAGATGAGACAGCAGGGCCCAAAAGTCAAATCAAAGTCTGCTCAATGCAATAGCATAGAAAGGTAAGCTTTGCGCGGAATTTCTCGCATTTGAAAGATATATACGCTGACGAGATACCCCCTATAGCAGTTCTAATCCATGTACAATAGTAAATTAAACATTCGTGTCTATGTTCATCTCAGTTTTGGCGTCGTCTTCACCGGCATCGGAAGGCTGATTTGAGCCATGTAGAAATATTGCTGGCAAACATGACCAACTGCAGCCTTTCCGCATCAAAGGTACAAACTTTTCAACCATGTCCCTCTCATTAACTACACGTCTGGGTGTAGGACCACTCGCTGAAGCCGCGTTCATACGATCTCTCTTGGATACCTTCTCAATCTCCCACCATTCTATCCATTCCGTGCGAGGAACTACAAAACTGGTGCCACAAATAGTACACAAGGTTGGCCCGGAATAATGGACGTTTTCTGCTCTTCGTAGTACTGATGGAATGCGAGGCGGAATGTATTCCATGTGAGATTCGAGACGTGTGAGTTCAGGGTGACGAATACAAGCCTGTAAAGCTTTCTCTACCAGACTCTGGACGCGAGACTGTGCCGCAGGGGGTTGCGGAATATCACCCAGGCTTGCAATGGGCAGTTGGATTTGCCTTCCCACGTGATTCCCATTCCACCGAGAATCAGAAGGGAACATAGGCCCTTTTATAAGCTGTCCAAAAGCGTCGAGGAATCTGACTTCTGTTCTACATTGATAAGACAAGGAACACCTCTCGCCACCCGAGATTGGTGTGCTTGGGCGAGGTAGAGTGCCTTGATGCCACTGGTGAAATATATGACCTGGTGTATCACGATTTAGAGGCAGAGATATAGTATCTTCTGCAGTGGGAAATGCTCGGGAGATCAATGGTGACTGGCGCTGTAGATCAATCTCAAAATGTGGTGCGCCATTCTCAGTACTCTCGGGTCTTGCCATCGGGAGGTAGAATGGATTCGGATGTAGCTGGAAATCATATAATCTTCCAGTCCTCCCACTTTCAGATAACGGCTGTGTGTCAGAATCGATCTATGAGGTGTTGTTAGTGGTTATTTGAGCGTGGTAGGTTTGTTAAAAAATGGCTTCATTTTTTGTCGCGCAATTGACCAAGGCTTGATAAATAGGACGTCGCTTACCGGTATCGAATTGAGTCCACCGACAAGAAGGTCAAGAATTTCAAAAGGGAGATATCCTAAGTTGTTTTGGGCAATATTTAAGTCTTCTAATCTTTTCAAATTTCCGATACTGGGTGGTATTTCCTCTAAGTTATTGCCTCGTAAACTGAGTGTGGATAATCGATTTAGGTTGAATAGCTCGGCGGGAAGTTTCACTAACTCATTGGCCGAAAGGATTATCCTCAGATGAGGTTCGACGGCGTAACCGCCTGCAGTTTTAACGAAAGTTCCCAAGGGGCGTATTGTGGAGTTTTCAAGGTGATCAAGACCCATACGACTAATGATAATTAGCCAGAACTGTGAAGAGGGATAGTCTTCACCTACGATAGATCAACGTATTCTTCTCCATCTTCAAGGCACTTTTCAATCCTTTTCTGTGCATGATTATCCCTAGGAGTATCGACTACAATTCTTGATTTGAGAGGTGATGGCGCAGGAATTGGCCATGCCTTCTTTCCGTTCTCCATGACTAAATCTTCCATGTCCGTACCATCACTACCCATAAATACCCCGCTGTCAACTTTCTTATTCAATGTTCTCTTGTTTCTTATGGGAACTTTGCGGTCCAAGGGCTCATCCTCAAAGGCTGAATCGGAAGCTAGCTGTTGATCAAACCAAGGTCCTCTAAATTTTTGCTTCCGTCTTGTCCTTTTCTGTGAGTATTTCTCTACTGAGGGGTCATCGTCGCTAGAGAATATTGGAGGATCGCTTGAATCAGGAGGGGGAGTATCGCGGACGCGTTTTCGCGACAAGTTTGTTTTTGTGAACGTTGAAGTAGAATTTGTATTATCTCTGATCAATCGTGGTAAAGAAAGTTCGTCTGCCATATTCAAAAAATCGTAGGTAACCACCCGTGCCGTAGCTTCCTCAAGAATGTGTCAATTGTTCTAAAAGATCATCAAACCAAAATGGGCAAATTCCGAAGGTTGAAGTGACCGGAAGTCGCGAGACATGGACCGAGGCTGCCAAGATAGACTAGCGGCCGCAGGGTCACGCGTAGCGCGCTGTCTAGTGACTAAGACTGGCTGGAGAAATGATAACGAACTCCCGCCCTTGCATGTTATCTTAGCATCAATGATAGAGTACATAAGCATAATGAGATAAGATCAAGATAAGATCAAATGGCACAGACTTCTCCAGTTCATTTGAATCATCATTCGTCATTGCACTTCCTCAACTCTTCTCAAAATTATTATTCATTCATCACAGATTCCACCCAGGAATATCCCAGATTTTGTTATTTGATGGTCAATATCCCACATCTTCATGAATATACATTTAATCAAGACCTCATATTTGGTAAGCGCCGTGTTAGTTTACTGAGTCATCAGTTTCCTATTGAACAAACGGTCATCTGAATCATGTGTCACATTGGTTAAGCGTGCTAAGCTCAAGTGCGCTAATCTAGTGCTCCTTCAATTTGTATCATGGTATTCAACTGTAACCTTTTCACCATCCATCTATCTACGACATATACCAGTCTGAGGCAACAACACTGACGAATTGGATCAGCCACTTCCTTGCGATCCATAAAAAGATAGCAGTCACATCGTAAAAGCTATTGCGACAATATCGTGGCAATATGTGTACTACCTATTTCTCCACCTATATCAACTGCAACCACCGTCCTTTCCGGCGAACGAGATGTCCTCTCTACAACCAAGATCCTCGAGCCTGTACCCGTAAAGTTGAAGTTCTCACAGACGAAGGCCTTCTCTGCCCAGCGTGTTTCGATCAGGTCGTTTGGGTTCGATCCAACGGTGAATGGGATGTCGTAGAAACACCAGATGGTGATCTTGCGAAAGATGATTGGGTAGAGGTTGTGCGAGTCGGATATGATTGGAGAGAGGAAAGTGAACTGAAAAATGCAAAGCCTCGTGTCAAGCGAGACAAAGCACCTGTGCTCTCTAAATTCGACGGCACAAAGCCGGTATCCAAGGCAACCGAGAAATCGAATCAGCAATGGGAGGAGACTCTAGGAGAACATGCGCTCCCTCTGGCAGAATGCTCAGAAGAAGTATTACCGAACTCCCAGAGGCTATCCAACAGTACAAAAAGCTTGCCCAAGTTTTCGAAATGGTCCAACGAGTAGATTATCATAATGACGGCCCGCAGAGGCTCTAGAAACACCATGTTCCTGAATCGCGAATCCAGATTGATTCGATGCAGTGTGGATTGGCTTCGCTTCGAGAGTCTATAAACAAATACCGATGGATTTCGCAATGATGATACTCTAGGAACAAACCAGAGAATCACAAACCAAGTCTCCTTGCTTACTCATATGGTTTACCCAGAAATAGCGAATGGGCATTGTGACTAGATACTTGAACAGAGCCAGGTCATGTATACTCCTTACGTCAGGTTTTTGTGAAAGGACACGAGCTCTGGTACTTCTTCAGCAGTCATTCAGACCTTCGAAACTCCGACATAACAGTTCTTGTCAATGATATTTTCTACCTACTTCAACTTTGCCAATCGGCCACACAAGCAATACATCCGAGCATGGAATAATAATGTACTTTTGGCCTTCTTAACTACTTTGAAAGCCGATAAGAAGCTATCCACTTTGATTATTATACTATGACCGACGCCCACGATCACTGCATCTCAGAGGAAATATGCGAATTTGTCTTTGCCAGATGTGTGGAAATTTTACTCTAATCAAAATAAAGGCGTTGAGGAAAAAGTTGCATCCTTGTGACTCTCCTTTCTTGGGTTGATTGCAAAATCCTCATGCCCACCTGAGGCACGATGGTTATCACCCTGGCTCGTTAGACTCCTCCCGGAAACGGTTCGACGAAGGCTTTTCTTAATGGCGTGTGAGGTTTTCCAGTTCGTTCTTGAAGAAGTAAAGCAACTTATCAGGTCGACGGTTACTGATACATCTTTGCTAGATGCGGCCATGCTGTAGGCTTCAACATCCCCGTTGAATCTCAAGGTGTCTTTCACCTGATAGTGATCCGGTGATAAGGATATGTGAAGAAGAATATAATGTTCTCAAGAGGATGGAGTGTGTGGAGGTTATGAGTTCTCGGGGTCAATTTTCCGAGAGACTTTTGTTCCGCAGAATCTCCTACATCACAATTTGGAGGCGTCTATTAGTTTCGACTTGAATCGACGCATGATTTTACATTTTCAAGTAGAAACACCTAGAATTCAACATAGTCTCTCAAATCAGTGCTATAGTTGGTTATATACATATTAATTAAAAAGATTCAAATCATATTCCCAGCGAAATACCACCGCACTGAGTACACGGTGCCGAATATCGCGGAATGTTTAAAAGATTCAGAAGTGATTATGATTCCACACGATGTACTTTGCATAAATGTGATGGATGGATTAGTTATCTAATTGTTATATATTATCTATCTGATTGTTATAGTACATAACCTCTCTATAAAAGAAATCATGATACATAAACCACTCTACACTGCCTAGGTACATCTATACTTCCATACTTCCATACTTCCATATCCATTCCATCCCATCCTATATCAAACCCTCCCCTCCCCCCATTCCACCATCCCAAACCCCATCCCCTCCTCCACTTCACAAAATCCACCCCGCAACCCCCACCCCCACCCACATCACCCATCCCTCCCTCGAACCCGCATAACGCAAACCCACACCCCCAGTAAAAACAGGCAGCGCAGTTCCTGTCGCACTCTGAATCGTGAGATTGTATACTGCAGATGAAGTGGTTGAGCTCGAGAGGGTTGTGAGTGTTACGGGGGGAAGAGAGGTCTGGATTTCGGATGAGCTTGTGGTTTGAGGGGAGAGGGATGGGGGTGGGGTGAGTGAGTTTGTGTTGGATGGGTTTGGTGGTGGTGTGCTGGGTGTGGCTTTTGTGGTTGTTGTGCTTTGTATACTGGTTATACCGGTTATACCGGAAAAGCTGGCTATAGATGTGGTTTCTGGGGGTATGAGTACGGGGGGTGGAGATGTAGTGATTGGGGTAAGTGAGGGAATGCTAATCAAGACGGAGAAGAGGGGAATGGATTGAATAGGCTCGGGAGTTGCGAGACTTGAGATTTGAGAAGTCTCGGAGGCATGAGGGACTTTGGTGGTTTGAACCATACTTGTTGATATTGTGGATATATGAGCGAGGGAAATAGTTGAGGCGGCTAGTGTGGAGGTCGATGCCAGAGTCGTGGAGATGGAGATGGAGAAGAGGGATTCGGAGGCGGTGCTGATGATTGTGTTAGTATGTATCAAGGTGGTTTTATCGATGTTGGATGTCTCGGTCTGTATGGATTAGTCAATTTTCGTGTAGTTAATGATGTATGGAGAAGCCGAAGGTAGTAAGGGAATATTGGAAGGGTGATAAAATAATACATACCTCTTGAGTGTGAGTATTTCTACTAGACGACACATATATGATAGTTGTGGAAGTTACCAATGTACAATCAGTTTGCGTAGAGGTATGTTCCAACGTAGAGTTGGATTCATGACCGAAGTTAGAATTAGAGATAGATCCGTGTCCGTGTCCATGTCCATGTCCATATTCATTGCTCTCTTTAGACCCAGATTCATAGCCTGATGAATCTTTGGTTCCCTTTAATTCATATCTAGAAGATGAGAACTCTGAGCCGGAGTTGCCTTTCGAGTTGGAATTAGTTGCTGAGTGTTTCGAGCCAGAGCCTTTCTTGGAGCTAGAATCAGACGAGGATTGTGAGTCATGGCTTTTCTTGAAGTCTGCTTCAGAGGATGAAGACAAAGATGAAGAATTTAAGCCATAGTTATGTTTCAAACTAGAATATTGGTACGTCGACTTCGAGCTGGATGTGCTGTTAGACGCGGAAGACTTTTTGGAACCCAAGCTCATAAGCTCAGACGAGCCGGAGATATCTGTAGACTGTCTATCGAGGTAAAAAGCCAAAGGTGTCAAAGTGCCGCTTGATTTCGATCCATTTGAGCTTTTCGTCTTGGTATTAGCCACGTTCGTAGCACCAAAATACAGATATTTGGTCTTTGTGACTACAGCACTGCAAGCAGACAAACCAGTCTCCAGGACCACAGACTTCGAAGGTTGTTCTTTACTCTCTGACTTTACTGTTTTCGTTTCCGTTGAATTGGATTTTTTGTATCCTTCATTCTTGCCACTATCTGACGATTTTATACTGCTATTGACTCTTCTACGAAGTTCACCACCCGGTTGAAAAGATTGTAGACCAACTATGAGAAAGGTACCGGATACTGTTTGAATATTCTTGGAATCGACCATGAGTATAGAGAAATATGACTCCGCTGTAGTTAGCGTGTCGCGTGGAACCCATTGATACATCCCATCATTTGGAATTTGAGCTGTGCAACCAATTAGTACTGACTCTTGAGAGTATACACAGTGAAAAGATCTTGGTAAACATACTCCCAATAGCAGATATAGAAGTGCTAGCATCCTGCACCCCTGCTGGAACAAGAAATAAAGAGACTGGGCCAGTGACTGGATCGGTAGACCAGGATATCTGAGTTGGAAATCCAGTAGTAATATGACTCGTTGGCTGAGGAAGTATAAAATCACCCTTCGCAAAGTATGAGACAAGAAAGACGAGAGAGAAGAATGAAAATCGCATGATGTTGAAATTGATTTTATGGCACAAGAATCCCGGGAGGAAGCGCATCCTTAAACAGTAGAATGATAAGTATGATTAAATTTATCAACGAAAGAACATATTATAAACATAAAATAAAGAGTGGCCAGCAACAAAGCGAGTTACAGCACAGCTGAAAGAATGTAAGTGAGGATAAGGATGAGAAGACCGTTTTTATTTATTGCAATAATCTGTGTATCATTTCGAAGAACGGCGGCGGTACATTCGAAACTTAGAGCTCCTGAGCATCAGATATGTGATACGAGCCATTATTGGAGGATGAGATATGTGAAATATGAATGGCACAACCCTTCAGGGGTCTGGAGTGTTCTAAACGCGGGGTCGTTTGACAGGCTTACCTGCTTTCCAAAAAAAATTATGACAATTAACTTACATTTCAATAAGTGCAATTGCTCCAACATACGAGAAATTTCATTTCGAAATCCTCCAGTGTAGTAAAAGGCAACGAAACTCTAAAAGTTTATCTGGGTTATGAACCAGTTACTGCCAATCTTGCAACAGAGTATGATATCTGGTCAAGTCTGACTTGAGTTGTTACTTTGTCACACACAAAACATGATCGGAGCGTCCAGATTGTTTAGCAAAGGGGTAGGAATGGATAAACTGCATCCAAACCTACAAATGATATTTATATCAGATCAAAACAGAATGAAAGATGGGACGGAATATCAAACGATGCGTTGTGCCTCCTTGCAAGGTGGATTTCTCATCCTTGGCTTATCTCACATCTGAAACCTGAAAGAGAAGATCTCATAAATATGCCAGGATTCATCGCATCATCTTGAGACCCGCGAGCTTGATTCCAACTTTAATTCTCCGGTGATAATGGGCATTTAGGATACGTAGCTTGTAGATAGCAAGCTTCGTGGCGATGACATCACAATCTGCGGTCGCTCTGTTTCTCAATCCTCAATAAATCGATGAAGCCGAAACTTTTTTTTGCGAGCTGTATAATCCAGCCTTAATACTGTCTTCTTGACTGCTCCAGTGCAGGTGTGTTGTGAATAAAGATGATTTGATTTTGCGCGATCGTGTGTGAAGTTGATATTTGGAATGGATTTTTCAACCTTGAGTAAGGTTTCAGTGTGGTAGGTGTTGTCAAATACTGAGATATAATTGCTGCCGATACAATTGCTGCCGTTTTCTGAATCATAGGAGATACAACTTCGCATCTTTGAGCTATCGATAGATTCGTAATTTACATCATAACTCCTTCAAGGTGCAGAACGACGCATCAGAAGTGCGTCTAAGCTGGAGAACTGGCTCGATCTTGATCACCCAGAGAAGTATCTATGGGAAAGATTCCTTTGCCTTCTCTTGGGATAAAAGGAACTTCTTCATTTGTCTGGATGAAAAATTTGAACAGTGGTTTAGTATGGGGTCAGCACTAGATGGGCTGCGATATCATGTAGTAGAAAATCAATGCAAAGTCTGAGATGTTTAATCAACCGCACAAAATACCTCGAACAATCGAACCATGGTGTTGGATTGAGCACGTGGAGATCTCCTTTTTCTCTCCACCTGGATGTGAGTAATAAAATCTGAGTGCATCCCATTTCCAGTCCAAATTTCATTCACGCGATGACTCGTCATGCCAGTTGTGATCACGTTCACCACAAGCAGCCTCCCTCAATCAGCAATTACTATTCGAATTGCAGAGGCTGGCTGCTTTCTGTAGCGATCTGCAAGACCCAGTACCTTCCACGTCGGCAAACGAATTCATCGGTGTTGGAAGGTTATGATCAAAAGTATGATGGTGAGAGATGATATAACTCGTAATTGTTGTAATAAGATGGTAGCAGGTAGAATCTGAAAGGAAGCTTACCAGGAAAGTTGGATCAGCAAATGGTGTTAGCCGTGATCTCGGTCGGGATTTACCGACGCTATAATACGGGCAAGGTCAGGCAACATCTATTCACGACTTAAGACCTCAACCATGAAAATGCTTCATATCAACCTTGAGTTTCTCAAGTTCTGTTTCTCTAAATTACAGACTAGGTCATCAGGGGGGGGGGCTTCGTCTGATCACGCACGAAGGTAATGATCAATTATCACGATACCGGTGGGAGCGACCTACCTTGGTCGTAATCACTGAATCAGACTCGATCATGATTTAGTCGCGTGAACTTTGTTTTTCTGTCTATCAACAAGAGGACATGATGGGACATACAAATGGATATATATTCCCCTGTGTCTCTGTACCCCTAATACTCTTCTAATTCGTCAAACTACTCAGTAAGTCCTTTATATTCAATCAACTTTCAATATGTCCGCAGAGAACACCCCTCTCTTATCTGAGCTCGCTCCTTCGCATCACCGCCATGCATCCACCTCATCCTCGGCATCGTTCTTTCCACCTGCCCTCCAGAAATTTCGTCTCGCAGTCGGAATCAATGTTCCTATAACCTCGCCTGCCAATTCTCCGCCCTCTGACTTCGAAAGTCTACGTGGAAATGCGTACGGTATTTACAAGTCCGTTCTTATTCAACAACGCAACTTCTCCTTGCAATATCATTTCATGGAAGGCGTATACTATATCTCTATACTCTCGCAGCTCTTTATCGGTGGTGTCCTCGCTTCCTTTGGCCAGCTATCCCAAGTATATCCGCAGGCAGTTCCTATACTGGGAGTTGCCAACACATGTTTAGCTGGAGTCCTAGGACTCCTGAAGAGTCAGGGATTGCCCGATCGATTACGCAAAGACGAGTTTGAGATGCGAAAAGTGCAAGACTTTATAGAGGAATGCGATGCCAGGCTAGCAATTGGATGGGGAGAGACAATCAGTGAATCAGAGGTGGATGGTCTGATTAAGGAAGTTTTTGATCATTATAGTGTTGCGAGGGACACCACGGAGATGAACAGACCGACCAATTACACATATCAGTCTGACGCAGATGGCACTGGAAACGGAGGAGCGATGAATCTACAGCGCAAAGTGCGTTCTGAGTCGGCAAATCGTAGAAGTTCGATCGGAGGCAGACAGAGTAATATTTCGGTCGGTGGGAATGGGAAATCTTTGCAGATATATTAGTGTGCTCTGCATCTTTGGCCCACGCTTTCACTTCCTCGCTACCCCTAACTTCTTTCTTTCTGGAGGAGTTTCAATACCCTACAGGCTATCAAGACAACCTGTAAATAACAATTAATTCAAATTACCCGTCAGACTTCATGATGAGACCTTGTTTTAGAATTTTGCAGCCTGGAAGTGAAATTAATGACCATTGCTATTGACCTCTGAACAAGAAACAGGACATGTCAATTTGATACCCAATTTGGGCTGTTCGAGTTGCATGTAAGATGTGAGGAAGTATTGCGGTTACACGATTGAAATAAGGGCTGATGTCACGCCTGCACGAGCAACGACACAAATCAAGTAGCATGTCCGAAACAAAATATATGGAGATTGATCGCAGACAAGGGGGGAAATGCCAACGAGAGCTATTTGGTGGTCAAAAATATTCAGTACAGGCGATTTGCATGAGATTGCAGACTCATGAGCTATCTAATCTATGTTGCAATCTAGGCCGAATGATTGTTCTAGACTTGTAAACATCTGGAGCATGAGACTGGACTGCTTGAATAGCTTATGGAATAACTCAACTGTATAGGGAGCTTTAAGCAGTTAATAGCTAGAGCTTCCATTGTTACTACTATCCAATCAATGCGAGCAGTATAAACATTACGAGGTTAAAGTTACTCGCACGGAATGCCAACATTGGAAACTCAACGCACTGAAACTTAGAAAAAGCCATCAAGACAATAGAACGATCCGATGTATTCGTGTCCATGGTGCAGTCCGAACGATCTCCATGACCACCAATCTTAGAGCCTCGGTGCCACGCGATATCTCACTGTGATTCTCATACTGTCATCTGTACATCGTCCAGGCTTGTGTCGCACTATTACTGCACTCCAAGAATTTCAGGGACATGGCATGCATGAAGTTACGAGTGCGGTATCGACCTTAGCTCTTCTTATTCCCACACCCCACATTAAAAACCCATCACCTAATAGCTAAATATCGTACGAGCATTAGAAATCATTAATCCCCATATTTTGGGGAGAGCCCAAATAATATTCTCATTCTCTCATTCGTCATGATCATGACTACATATCATGAGAATTTCTCAAACTTTTGTCTTCGAGAACGATCTCTTCAACGATGAATCCCTCGACCGGTCTCCAATTTGCTCCTGAACACCAACAACATTATTCTGAAGAGGACCACTTGGGACATCATGGTGCTTCAAATAACAAACCAGAAGATATGTCCACGAAGTCTACTTCCTTGCCATGTCGTCGAACTTTTCGCAGGTAAGGGCTCCATGAATAGAGTTTTCTTCCTATGTATAGTTTGCTAAATAGAAATGAAGACCTCGGGCAGGTAGAGCATGCGGGGTAAGTACCATCTTCACTCTAGATGGCAGTCGATACTAATGCCATTCTTGAACAGATGTGCCATTCAAGAAGAGTATGAAATTTCACCTTGAATCATACTTTTATGTATATCATTGACGCGAACTAGGTGCGATGCGACGCAGGATCTCACGGAATCCCAGTGAGTATAAACCATTCACCAATTCCTTTGCTTTAAATGCTTACTTCTTCATTATTACTAACTCCACGATTTTGTAGTGTACAAATTGTGAAGCATTCTTCTTGGACTGCAATATTCCCCCGCGAAAGAAGAACGTGAGCAGGGAAGGAACGACCGCCGGAAGAAGAAAGTCCGCCAGTTCATTGTCAGTACTTAGACCAAGATCTTGCTGAAATTCATCCCTCAAATTTTTGCTTTTGTATTCTTACACGAATATAGAATTAAGCAGCGCGGTCATTCCAATGAGAACGGCGATGGAGAAGAGGAAAAGAATGACGATGATGAGCTTCCTCGGCCAGTCGCGTCAAATCACGATGATTTTGCCTCTCTGATTCTTCAAGCTGGTCACCATATCAAGCAGCAA